CTATTGAGTTGTTTTGTAGTATCAATTAATTGCATATGAATATGGAAGAATTATTAATTATTTTGTATTCTATATGTTCATGATTTTTTTCCGTTTCCATCAACGCACAAATATCATATTTTTTAAAATTATTTTATTTATAAATTGATATAGAATTAAAAAATACTACGTACAAATTACATATTTTGAAATACTTAAATAATTTTATAAAATAAGATATAAAAAGAATACTTTATTTTATCAAATTATTAATATATAATAATAATATTTTTATCATGCATAATACGTACAAATAATATTTTTTACCGTGCATCGCACGGGTTGGAATCTAGTGATAGTAAAATAGTAAAGAATGCTAGTTTAAACATAATAAGTCATGGTGCGGTGACAGATTTGTTTGATCAACTATATTCTCTAATATAATTAAAAAATCATATAAATAAAATTATGTATTTTTTAATTTAAATCATCTAAAAACTACAAACTATAAATTTACTAGTAGTTGAATCAACCCATAAAATTATTATATATACTCGATCGAACAATCAAATTATATCTAGTATTTTTCTCTATTTTAACGCTTTTATAGTTCTATCATCTATTCTTTTATAAAATTTAATTGTTATTTTTAAAATATTTTTTGTTTTAAGTTTTAATCAATAATTAAATAAGCAGAATCAAAATTAATTTCATTTAAACGTATCATAAATAAATATGAAATTTATGTAGAGGTGAAAAGAACATCTTACTCATTACTCTTTTCGATCTAAAAAAATTGTCACATTATACAAAATGAAACAAAATTTCTATTTTTAAAATTCATTTTATTGAAAGATTTTTATTGAAATAAAATATAAAAACTACATATCTAAAAATTAGATCAAAAATTAAAAAAGGAGATAAGAACAATATTTTTTATATTAAATAATCAATGAAAACAAACAAATAAACAAAAGTTTTCTTGATTTTTGAAGAGTGAAATGTGGCATTCTTTTTTGGACGGAAGAAGTACTTGAAAGTATTGTTAAAAGATACTCCATCCGCCCCCCAGTTTTTGTCCACTTTCATTTTTACACACCATCCAATGCACTTCTTTAATGCATTTTATCTTGTAATTTGTATATTAAAAAATTATAGAAATTATATATTAATAATCTATATATTAAGACAAATCAAAAAAGATCACACATAACTATATTTAGGCTTACACATTGAGAGAATTTGATGAGTCAAAGTGTTTAGATGAACAGTTCCAAAAGTCAAAAGTGGACAATAACTGGGGGACGGAGGGAGTACAAAACTAGGAAAGAATATTATCATAAAAATGAAGGTTTTTCTTCCTATAATTAAATTTTACTTATCCATTTCACACCAAAAAGTGCCACATAAACAATGTCACATGTCGTCTTCTTAGAGATTGAAGTTTGATTTTTATACATATAAAGGAAGGAAAATTCTTTTGTGGTCCTTAAGTCCATGTTTATTTTATAAACCTTCATACATAAAATGTGCCCTGGAGTATTTATGTATTGGGCATTGTAAAGTTAAGGAGATACTACTTACGAGACTATAAAAAATATGTGAGAAAATTTATACTTTACATTCAGACCTTATGATTACAGTAGCACAACTCATAAAGGTAAAGGCAATTCGATTGATTTGAAATAAGGATCGTGCTATTTTAATTATAAGGTCTAGACATGAAATGCAATTTTGCAAACATTCTCACATACTCCTTCCGTTCTATAATGTTGTTCCCACACATTTTTTACCCAGTCAAACTCTAATCACTTTCTTTACCTTTTTTTATTAGATATTTGATAAAATAATATAGTCTTGTCACCACTTGTTTAGTAGAACTTTTGATGTAGTTTTTAAATATATAAATTTTAATTTTTAATTTTACACCTATAATCAAATAAATTGGATTGAAAATAAAGTCGGTCAAACTTTTTAAAATGAACCGGGAAGATCATTATAGGACGGAGGGAGTAATTTACATGAGTTCATAGTTGGATCTATCCTAACATATAAGATCATTTTATGTATTAAAGCAATATAATGACTATGGTCCTAAAGACCACAATAGTCAATAGAATGTCTTAAAAGAACTACTTTTTTTGTTGGTTCTTTTCATACATTATTCAGACTATTAAATTTTACGGAGTATTTATTTTGTGTGAATTTTTTAACTATTCATTTTATATATAATATAATTATGTCACATCTTAATTTGTAAAATTTTTACATTGTTTTTAAATATATAAATTTTATTTTTTATTTTCATTAAATTTTATTTTTGATTTTAATCGTAGACGAAGGGGTAAAAAAGGGTTGTGGCGGACTTGGACTGAGTTGGTCGGGGGTCTTTTCGGTTTTCATGAACACGCGCATTTTTTCTTTTTTCTTTTTAATGAAAGAACACGCGTATTTAATTATTACCGGGTAGGGAGTATTATTTTTTTCGGCAAAAGAAAAAATAAAGTAACGCGTTTTCTTCAAAAAAATTGTGACAAGAATGTAATGAAGTTGATTTTATAAGGTTACCTTTTTACTCTTTACAGTGTACGGAGTAATTTAAGGCTTTATAATTATTTTTACTTTACAAGCATGTTTTTTCGGGCTGGGACGACTTATTATTTCCAATTGTTTTTAATTTCTTTCATTTTTTTAATTTTTTTCAATTTTTCCAACAACGGCTTAATAAAAATTGTATTAAATATGATACGGAGTATATGTGAAGAGACACTAATGTTTTTAATTTTGTAATACTCTACTTCGTATAATTTTATTTATTTGAGAGACATAAATTTGAATTAACTTTTTTTATTACTTTATTAAGTTTTTACAACTAACTTCTTTACTTTCTTATAATATAATCCATTACCCATAACCTTTAGAAAATAGGTTAATGATATGTTATGTAAATTAAGAAACAAGTAATTATGTCAAAGATTTTGTAGTCCAACGATATGATTGCGATTCTTTCATTTGGGAGGTCACAATTCGATCGTCAATGAGGATAATAACCCCATGTGCTTAATGGTTGATAATGTATAAATAGATACTTCATCCGTTCCACAAAACTCTTCCTCTTTCGTTTTTTTTATTTCCACAAAATACTTTCACTTTCTATTAAAAACCCACTTTTACCCCTACTTTTTCATACCTTATCAGATCATACTTTTTCACTAATAACCAAACTATCACATCTTACTTAGGGATGTCAATTCAACCTGAACCCGAGCTTAATCGACCCGACCGACTACTAAAATATCCGAACCCGAACCGAAAATAAAATAATCTGAATTGAACACGACCCGAAATTTTTTACCCGAAGGGTGTGGATTTATAATTTTCCCGACCCGACCCGAACCCGAACCCGACTAAAACCCTAATATTTTATTACATAAAAGTATATTTATGGATATAATGAGCACTCCGTATAATCTCTTGACAAAGTGCTAATATATCAAGTATGTCTTTTGTAATCATTTTTATAATCCCTTAATAAAAAATGAGACATAAAAAAAATTAGATTTAATCTTTTCAAAATTATTGGGGTACGTCGAATTGATTATTGGTTTAAAGTCGGGTTCGGGTTGAAATGTCGGGTTCGGGTCGGGTCGGGTTTTTGGCTTAAAAGGTCGGGTTTTGGGTCAGGTTCGGGTTTCGATTTTAAAAGTCGGGTTCGGGTATAGTACTATCCGACCCGAACCCGACCCGTTGTCATCCCTAATCTTACTTTTTCCATCACATCAGGGGCAAAATTGGAAAGTTAACCAAAAGTATACTTTCTTTATTTTTCTCCAAAGTCAAAACCAGAAGGATTTTGTAGAACGGAGGGAATACTATATTATACTTGTAATAGAATTTCAAAAGCATAATATTCTCTCTGTCCCAAAATAGCTTACATAAAAGCCAAAACGAGGTAAAATCCCAAAATTTTAAATTTATTTTATTTAAAAATTTGTGTAAAAATAAAAAATTATACTTGTATGTCTAAAAGTTACGTCAAAAGTGCTACAAAGTAAGATGTAATAATAGTTTACGAATTAATATTTAATTTCATCAAATAATCAACAAAAAACATAAATAAACTAAAATTGTTGTGAATTCTGAATATGGAAGTATGTAAATTATTTTGGAACAACGAGAATAATAATTACAATATTTATTTTTTTTTTAACTTTTTCCAATTCCTTTCAATTTTTTCAATTACTCATCTTCATGATTTCAAACTCTTTACCGTTTTTCTAACTCTTATATATTTCTTTCAATTCCTTCTAATTTTTTAATTTTTATAGTTTTTTTCTAACCATGCATTTTCAATTTCTTCAATAACTTCTCCTAGTTTCTTTAAACATTTTTTCCAACCACCAACCCTATTTTTCAACCTTAAAAAATAGTCTCAAATGAAAAATTAAAAGAAAAGACAGACCTATCTATGTACAAAGCAGGTATTCACTGTATCTAAAAGTTAGTTAAAATTATTTATAAATTTTTTAACTTATGAGTCAATTGATGATAATGTGTTTATAAACTTATAAATAAAAAATAAGTATGTTTTATATACTTATTGTTAACTTCATACTTTCATTTCTCTATTTTCAGAATCATTTTTAAAATTATCATTGATTTTTTATGAATGACCCAAATGACTACATATTTCTCATTTAATTCACTTTACAAATACAGAGTAATATTCACAAAAATTACTCCATGGATTTTCTTTAAGTGACTCATAGGTCCCAGCCACATTATCTAAAATATACTCTCGAATACCCTAACTTATCAGTTTGTAAGTTAAAAACCACACTATACTTATCAACAAACATCTCTCTTCAATAAAGTTTGGGAAGAGAAAAAGAAAGAGATTGGAGATTGAAGTATTTATTTAATTGAAAATGAAAAAGATGCATAACTTTTTCACAAAAAAGAAAAAGAGAAGAAAATCTTAAGTAGATACATTAAATAATTAATTAGATACGTACATGACGTAATATATTACTCTATTATTACACTCCATTATAAATAATTACTTACTCCTAATATATTACACGTACTCTAATTTTTTTTATATAAATGAAGGAATAATGAATTAATTAAAGATTCTCTGGCCGGGGGACAATATCATCTTTGGATCGAACCGAGCCTTATTTTCCTGAAAATGGTTCCATTTTTTCCCAAAATGTTTCATCCATTCCTGTTTGGTGTGGAAACTTGGGAGGTACTGCTTCATCTTGATTCCAGCCTCCTCACAATACTTCAGGATTTCTTTATTCACCCCATCCAAACGCTCCCCATCTTTGGCGTCGCAAGAGTACAGTAGACCCACACAGTAAAATATTTCTTCTTCCGGTGTTACCGCAGACATCCGATCATCCCACCTATTATTCATCATTAATATATCATCATTTATTAGACCAAGATTGTAATAATCTAGTTGGGTCTAATCACATTAATTAATTAATTAATTAATTATATTAAAGACAATAATGTATATATGTATATTCTTACGTTTTGGTGGTTGTTGGATAGACAAGAATGGGGTCCCTAATCTTGTGTTTGAGAATGATGTCTTGAAAGACACCGGAGTTGAAGTCCGAGATTCTTGACTTTGGGACAAACAAGTTGAGCCATGGGTGCGAAGCCTTCCAAAGCCCGTTGTCCTGCGGTTCGAGCTCGCGACACGTGACTCTATTCAGAAAGTCAAAGTACGTCATGCCCTTCTGGAACATCATCCCACTCGCAAATCCCAGACCTTTTGTCAGATCTGCCAGCCTGTCGCCAGTATTTTTTATGTCCTCGTCGCGGCAGTACTTGACGGCGTCCAGGCAGTAGATGATGGGGTTGGAGGAGAGCAAGGGGGCGACCCTGGACCGGTCTGAGGGGGAAAAGAAGGACGACGATCGCCAATTGTTGATGCGAGAGGAGTCATGGTTTATGATGAGGGAGCCTTCCAAGTAGTCTAGCCCATTGTTGTTGATGGAGATGAGGTGCTCTTGGTCTCTTGTGAATTTTGAGAAGTCATCATACAACAGTCTTACCCATCTTGCCCTTGTTGGTGCCTCCTCCAACACTATTCTTGCCCTTGTTATGATCCCAAACTGTCCCAAACCCCCCAAAACTGCAAAAAACAGATCCGAATTCACGTCTTTCGAGCACGTAACCAATTCTCCCTTTCCTGTCGAACAAATTAAAGAAAAGTAGAAAAACGTGTTTTAAATTTCCTTAAAAAAAACCATCGGAATCATATATTCTTCTCTATCAAAAGAAATGAATTTTTTTTAGACAGAAAAAAACAATAAAAATTTGGGGGACAAAATCTTTTGAAAGACATGAAAAAAAGATTAGAATATAATTGGGGAGTGGATGGGTGGCCCAACATATCCAACAACATGTTTGGACACGAAAGTGACAAATCTGTTGTTTAATTCAGGTTGGGAAATCTACCTTTACAGAAAATCATGGAAACAGACAAATATAAAATTGATAGATCAAGTAACGAGGAACAACTTTCTACGTGTGGGCCAAATTATCTAATTAAGGGTGGGACATTGGATGATAACTCAAGAATGGTTTTTTACCCAATTTAGAAGCCCTCTTTCCACCGAATATGTAAACACGTCTACTTTTATATGAATAAATAAATGTAATTTTATATTTAGCCTAAATATTTTTTACAATAGATTTTTAACAAAAAGAATATAAATTTTGATCAAGAAAAAAATAAAAAATCAATTCAACCAAAAATTCAAATTTTTGATTGATTGTATGCTCTAAAAGTGTTTCATATGAAGTATTTTAATTATGTTATAAGATCTTTTCTTAACAGAAGAATTAACAAATTACCCAATCACTTAATTAATACTCTGTAATACATAATACTTTGCATATTATTACTTCATCTATCTCATTATATTTGTCATGTTTGATTTTCTAGTCAAATTAAACAAATTTTGTTTGCTAATTTGATGAAAATTTCATTATATATAAGACAAATTCTTCCGTCGATCTAAGATTCATGCTCATTTTATGAACTTTAGTGTATTTATAGCATGAAAGAAGTGAGCCTTTTAGTTATACTCCATACTTTTTTTGTAAGAGATAAAATAAATTTCATGCTTTGTAAAAGATTTTCAAAATTAAAAATTATTCCATTATATTGATGATATGGAATTCAGTTTTGATTCAATTAATTACTCCGTATTTAAGTTTGCTCAACAACTTAATCAAAGGAAATCAAACAAGACTACGTCACTTTACATCGCAATACTAATAATTAGACACGGACAATTAATTACATGTCTCTTTGACATTAGGAATTGAACCAACCAATGACAAAACAAACAAATACTCCGTATTAATTCATTAATTAACCAATAATAAACCCACACGCACACACCTAACTCAAATTTATATTCCTTCTGTCATGTCCTAATTTTCTTGCCCTAAAATTTATGTCTCGTTTGACTCATCCGGTCAAAATTTCTAAACATTGACTCCAAGCAATAATATGTAAAACAGAATATATTAAATAAAAAAATAATTTGAGTCAGCTAGTAAAAAATTACTAGTTTTGAGTATATATATATATATATATGACTTGTGTTTTAGTCATATTCACTGCAAATTTCACATATATATTACCTGTAATTACATCAAGCTCAAGAACATTGCTGATCTGAGGCCCATAACGAAACATCTGGCCGCTGATCCCGGCATTGGACAGTGTTCCTCCCACAGTCAGGTACAGGTAGTCCGTCCACGACACCGGCGTCACGCCGTGGGCCAGACATGCGCGCAGCACGTCGATCCACAGCTCGCCGCCTCCCACGTCGGCGTAGCACCCGGAGGGACAAACCCTGATGCTCGTCCCTCCAGAGTGGGCCCCCATGTTCACCACCACCCCGTCTCTGGCGGTCGCCTGGCCGGAGACGGAGTGCCCGTGGCCCCTCGCCGCGACGGCGAAGGGAGACGGCAGGCTGTACGAGAAGCGCACGAGGTCGATGATGTCATCAATGCACGTGGGGTCCAGCACGGCCGCCGGGGCTTCGCGGACCCGGCCGCCGAAGTCCGTCGAGGCAGCGGCGGTGGCGTGTGGGTCCACGCGAAACTTGTCGGCGGCGATGATGAGGGAGCGGATGGCTTTGGGGATGGCGGAGTTCCATGGCTTTATGAGAATTGAGACCAAACGGTTTAGGATGAAAAGGAGAATGTAGAGATTTGGAGAAACAAGTTTTGACATTTTTTTCTTAATTAATTAATTTGAAGAACTGTTTTTGAATAATGAAATTATTGTTATTGTATTTGCAATTCGATCTAATGGGAAAGGAATGTAATTATAATAATGATAATAATTGTAAGAAGCTAATTATAAAAGGTAGGAGACGAGTGAGGATGATATGATGTATTTATAGGAAGAATGGGAAGAAGAAAGAAAGAAAAAAAGTGTACATCTTTTATGTTGGGTCGAATTATATGGGCACTTGGGAGGAAAGCACCAGGAAACTCTTTTGCCAAATTTGTGTTGACTATTTCTTTCAAAGTCAATACTGTTTTGTGGTAAATAATCATGCTTCTACATGTTATTTCAGAAAATTACTCGCGGATGACGCGAGTTTTGTCGAAATAACTTTCAGGTCCCTCTATTTTCAAAAAGACAACCGAGGTCCTTATATTTTGTTGTAATGACTGGGAGGGGACATTTCATCCAATACATCATGCGTAAGTGTTAATAAATGTATTTTTTTCCTATTTTTCCAATACCGTTTTTTCCTATTTTTCCATTACCTTGTTTTTTCTTTTTTTAATTTTTTTTTATTTCATTTGTTTTAATATAATACAAACAATTTTGAATTTTTATACGATTTTATAGAAGAAATTCTAAAATAACACTTTAAAAAATAGTAACAAAATGAAAGAAAAACAAAGAAATACAAAAAGGAGCGACCTAAGATTTACTCCGTATTACCTTAAAACATTTAGAAAAGAATAGGAAAAAATACATTTATAAACGTTTATAGATGAAATATTGGATGAAATGTCCCCTTCCAGTCATTACAATAAAATGTAAGGATCTCTGATGTCTTCTTGAAAATAGAGGGATCTGAGAGTTATTTCAATAAAACTCGCGTCACCCGCGAGTAATTTTCTGCATGTTATTTTATGTTATTAGTTCTTGGCATATTTATATTTCGAATAGGTTTGAATCTTACATTAGTAGAATCATTACGTTTGATTTACGTGAAGCCAACGCACGAGTATCTATGAATCGTCGTTTCGAAGGGGACATGGATCTCACCCACCCAACGAGGATATATACACACAAAAAAGATTAATTATGTTTTCTGCTTATTAAGTGCAAATTTTACTTCAACTTATTCTTATTAAAATTAGAGCAAAATTAGATCAGACCTGATAAGATTAGATCAGATAAGATCAGGTCAGAAATAATTTTAAATTTGACTACAATCAGATCAGATCCTATCCAATCAAATAAATAGAACAAACTACTATTAGTCAAAATTAATAATTATTTAAGATCATAATCTATAACCATCGTCTAAAGCGTCCCATATATATTTTGTACTCTCTTGTGTTTTTACCTTCTCTTTTTCTCCGATTTCTTGTTTTAGTTTCGCTTTGCTTCTTCTATTTCTTGTTTTACTTTCACTTTTAGTCCAATTCTTAGCTGGATATGAGTAAGTGTGAACAGAAGAGATTAAGGCCCATTTTTAATTAGTTAACCACCATTTTTTGTTGCTGGTTTTACATATTCGACGGGTAAAAATTCTTCGATTGGTTGGGTATTTGTAGTGTACTATTTTGTTCAAGTAAATTATGGATTCGTTCAATTAATATATAATTCGTAGTACTATATACTTCACTTGTCCTCAAATCTCATTCCTATTTTGGTTTTTATGGAATTTAAATGATAAATATTTTAGTTTTGACTTACCTAAATTATCTTTGATGTGATGAGTGTAATAAAAATATAATGCGATTGATAGATTAGTAGTGAATAAATATGATGTGATAAACATAATAATATTTAATAAGGTAAAAATAAATTTTTAATAGAAAATAAAAATTTAAAACTTTTTTGAGATGAAAAAAGGATGAAAGAAGAAAATCTTTTAAGGACGGAAAAAATATGTTTGTATGATTTGTAATTTGCTCACTTGTTTTCAAAGTTTTAAAATTTACTCCGTATGATTTTAATTAAAAGCAAAAAAATTATGGACCCATAGAAGTGAATTATTTGAAAGGGCAATTGATATTTGCATTTCACTATTATTAATGACTCCACATGACCAGTTGACCACATCTATCCATCTTTTTCCATTATGGCAATAATATCGTTAAATTAAATTTTTCCTTTGGCTTACCAATATTGACAGCAGCTCAAGAATTGAATTCAACAATTAACAGCCGGTAAATTCACTTTGTTATGTTGGCACTAGCTAAATTTACACTCCACTGTGTTTTTCAAATTTTATTTTTTATTAAAATAATTTATTCTTTATTTGATTCACATTTTTTTTCATTTTAAATTTTTTCAGATCAAACTATTTTTTGTCGCAAATTAAATTTTGTAATTTTTGTATTTACAGTCAATTTTATCTTTCCTAATTGTCAAAATATCCGCCACAATTTTTCGTTTCTTAATTTACATGCCATAACCCATGTCTTAATTTATTAAAATAATTACGAATTGTGATATATCTCACAAAAATAAATCAATATTCTTTTGTTTAGAAATATTATTGATGTGACTTGATTTAGTTTTGGTGGACCTAAGGCCCACCATATATGGACCTAGATATAAACAAAATAGGTATTTCATTACTAATTAAATAAGCATTTGTTTTTTAATACGGAGTAAAAAATAAAAATAATATTTTTTTATGTGAGAATGTCTACAAAAATGAAATGCACCCAAGGTGTACCGAAGAAGCACTCTACTTTTTTATTTATACTTGTGTGTTGCACGATCAATCATTTATCTAAAATATAAAGAATACAAATTTAATAGAATTAATGTATAAATTAAATTCAAATAGAACTAAATATAAAATTAACATGACATCTAATTATTTGAATTTGTATAAAATGTACTCCGTAATTAAATTAGTACAAATTTCCAAAAAAATCATTTTGTTATGTCAAAGGAGATCTTGAGAAATAATTTAAAAACTTAAAAATTAAAAAAAAATAAAAATAAATTTTTAACAAATTTAAGACAAAAATAAAAACTTGAAGAATAAAAATGAAGAAAAAACAAAGAAAAATTGAATAATGAAGAAGCAACAAACACCAAAAAACAAAAAAAAAAGCAAAAAGTTGTTTTACCAAAATGTGTAGCTAGAACATTTCTGTTGATAGTGCACCAGAGTTGATAAACGAAAAAATAAAATGAAATAGTATGGATTTGATAATGTAATTTTTATAGAAACATGTATTTATAGTGTGCAAAATAGTTGGAATGTGCAATCCAAAATATTTGCATAGGAATCTAAAGAATTAAAAACCATACATATAATAATTATGTTGAAATATTAGAATAATAATATTGCTTCATGAATTATGAAGTACATGATAGAGTATATATATGGAAGAGATTCCTAACATAACTAGCAATAGAGAATAGAGACTAACTAAAATATGACATCTACAACAAACAGGAATAGGAAAATAACTAATAATCAAACACTACCATAACCAATAGTACCAGAAGTAATATTAGTATTATTTTCTAACAAATTATGTCCATCCCTTAAAAGGTGTGTATATTCAGCTTTCCAAGCCACTATTAGACTACCCTGCACTCAAGCTAATACACTTTCCCCCAATTCAAAAGCTATAATGGCTTCACAAATTCCCAAAAAATGGGTAGCATGGCCTTTTACAATACCCAAGCTAAGCCACATTCACACATTCTCATGTACAAAATAATTATGATATCACATTTTTCAATAAAATGACTTTTTCTCATAAAGTAGGCCGCTTCAAGACCCATAATTAATATCACATTGCTCCATAAGTTTTTTTTCTCAGTTTCTGGCCGGCATCACCCCATTAATTAATAAACACACTCACGAATGCAGACTAATTAATACTCCGTATCACATTGCCCTAGAAAGTTTCATTTCCCAAAACCCATCCCATTTTACACGTCCACTTCACATGTCGAATTAACTCTACTTTCTGGCTACATTTTCATCGATCATCTGATAAAATAAATGTAATTATACACCAATTTTTACTTGTTTTGTAGAACTTTAAAATGAAATTTTTAATATATATTTTTCATTTTTTAATTCCATAATAATTTTTATTTATATTGATCTAAAAATAAATTTAGTCAAGCATTGTCAATCGAATAAGAGCCTTATATTGGGATAGAGGAAGTATAGTTAAAAACGGGATCAAAAGAGCAACTTCTGTTTACAAAAAACAATTCCTAGTTTGACTTTTGATATATTTATTTTTGTAAATTGACTTTCCAATTAAAAGGACTCACTTAAATAGTTTATTATACTAATGTAAAATGAATATAGTATATTGTAATGACTTTATCTGGATATATGAGCCTTTTTTTTTGTAAAAATAGAAGTATTTTGATGGAAATGAAAGAAAATTAAAGAGTAACTTCTTAAAAATGGTTGGAGTACAAAATTAAACTAGAAGTGATAAACTATATTACGGAGTATTTTATTAAATGTGTAACGAAAATAAACCTACGAAATAGAGAGAGTAAAAGATTTGACGACCCAGTACGTGAATAGTATCCGCGAAAAAAGATATTGGAGGGTGGAAAAAATGGACTATGATGAGTAGTCCGTATTATTCTTTAGAACTAGCCTAAATAAATCAAGAAAACATAGAGAGTACGAAGGAAGCTAAGAGAGTATCTTGCAAAGATACGAATATAGCAACGACCCACCATGGCAAATTGAAGTCAGGAGGACTTATCAAATCTGACTGGAAAGTTAATGGGAGAAGATAAATTAGATTTTAATCGTAGATTTAGAAACTTGTTTGGGTTGTAAAAATAATGTTGGATATGTTCAATATCATTCTTCGTGTTTTATAAAATGAAATAAAATTTCAAGTCTTTTCAATTTAGTTTATTTAAAAGTTGGTATAAAAATAAAAAATAAAATTACATATTTAAAAACTAAGTAAAAAATTCAACGAAACAAATAGTGACAAAAATATTTTATTTTATCATACATATACCATGAAGTTGGAACAGTGCACTGAGAAGAAATATATGAAATGGATGGAGTTTATACTCCCTCCGTCCCGGAGTATTCGTCCACTTTTGACTTTTGGAACTGTTCATCTAAGCACTCTGACTCATCAAATTCTCTCAATGTGTAAGCCTAAATATAGTCATGTGTGATCTTGTTTGATTTGTCTTAACATATAGATTATTAATATATAATTTCTATAATTTTTTAATATACAAATTACAAGATAAAATAGATTAAAGAAGTGTATTGGATGGTGTGTAAAAATGAAAGTGGAAAAATGAAAGTATATTCTAAAAATGAAAGTCATGAAAGTGTAAAAATACTTTGTAATAATTGGTTTTTTACTTTTTAGAATATTTACCAATCATGACTTAAAATTTGACAATCAAGTCAGTCTATTAAGGCTTGTTCTCTTCACATGATTTTATTGGTTCTGATCTTATTGAAATAAATTTTGATCTGATTTAGTATTCTAATCTGGTCTGATTGTAAATCTATTTAAAGTTGTTTCTATTAGAAAAAATTAAACTATGAGTAAAACCTAAAAAAAGTACCAAAATAGAATATCCATATTTTTTTACTCCCTCCGTCCTATATCTTTCTTCCCGTTGCGCAAAACGAAAAAAAATCTCAAGTTGTTTCAATCTATTTTATTTAAATATTGGTATAGAAATAAAAAATAAAATATACATATTTAAAAACTACATCAAAAGTTCAACAAAACAAGTGGTGACAAGAATATTTTATTTTATCATATAGGCCATGAAAAACACAAATAAATATAAATTTCCGTGAAGTTGGAATAGTGCTCTGGGAAGAAAGTTTTAGGACGGAGGGAGTATCTTCAAAATAGAAGTATAATGTCAATAATATTAATATATAATACCAAAAATATAATAAGATG